CTAGCCTTGTCCTAACTTGCTATCTGGCCCAGCTAAGCAGGGAAGCATGCTCTAGCGCCTCCTGGCTTCCCACCTGAACCACTGCAGACATGTGGCTGCATTTCTGGAATCAAAAGTAAATATCTGTTCGCTTGCTTATCAATTCAATCTACACATCTTAGACTGGCCTGCAAAAACTAAATTGATTCAGCCCCAGGTTTTCTGATGGTCTGTACTTAGCCTTATAGGCTGGGGATGGCACTGAACCCAGATCTCTGATTCCCTGGATGAGTGCTCTAGTTTCTAGGACAGTCTATGAAAGATGGATGGTGGTGCTACCATGTTCTCCACTTGCTCCCTATATCTTTAAATAAAATAGTGAGTCAGTAGATTATCCCTAAAGGGACAATGCAAGTGCCTACACCCAGGAGCGGGTTTCAGGCTGTAAATCCTAATCTTCCTTGGGTGCCTAACTCAAGGCTGCAGCTAGGTACCTAAATCCCAAGAGAAGTGGAATTTCTCCTCCCCACATCTGCTTGTTCTACACACCTGCTGCCCTTTATCACATGTTTAGACTGTATAGCCTTTGAAGAAAGGACTATATGGGGGCGGGGGCGGATCAGAGCCAGATTTGAGGTCTCTAGGTTCTGTCACAGTACAAGTAATTTTTTGCAACAGTGGAATTGTTAGTTTAAAGCATGGGATAAATTAACTTCAGCAAATAACAGAAAACTTAAAGAAAAATCCAGGAAGGATAGATGTAGTGAATAAACTTGTCTGAAGAGGAAGTGAGTGTTTTTATACTACTGACCATATTTGCTTTTCTGTTGTGCAAACTAGCTAATGATTGCAAGAGTTTTACACTTTGCCCCACTCTTCCTTTTAAATAGTCTAAAATGAAACAGACATTTTAATGTTATACAGCAAATAGTGAGGTGCAGAAATGCTCTGAGACTTGCTATTTTGGGTGGTGAGAGAGATCAGAGAGAAAAAACTCTCTCTCAAAACCCAAATAAATATTTAAAAGCAGTTATTAAAAGGTGTAACAATGTAAAGCCTAGATTTAATTCTTATTATAATGTTGATAACTTACAAGATCAAATTAATATTTACCATGTGTTCCTGGAAATAAGTGCCTTACAAACAAATCCCTGGATCCTTTCAAACTAAGTAGAATTCTCACTTTCTGCTTGAAGATGGAAAAGAATAACACTGCATATATAGTATTAGGTGAGCAGAGAGACAGCACAAGAGTGATTGTTAGAGAAAGTAAGCCATGCATGAAAATATAAAAGATCTACACAGCTCCTTTCAAAGCTGAGGTATCTCAAAGCAGTGCAGTGACGTTATGCAAACATAAGGACCTGTCCAGCCAGGTGCTGAGTGCCTCCTGCCAGGTGCATTATTTCCTGTAAAGTCTTTCCTTTGGAAAGTCACGGAAGACACCACGTGCCAAACAGAATCGGGCCCTAAGCACTCAGGAACAGCTCATACATGCAGCCTTGAACATTAGAGCCTGTTTTATTGAGAGAAGGAATGTTGGATAAGAGAGAAAGCTGAAAAGGGGCAGTGCTTGCAAAGCAGTGGGAGGCTAAGAGCTGGGTATGAGGAACAGCCTGTAGGGTGAAGGGGAGGGCCCTTGCAAAGGAAACAAGAGAGAGGAAACAGAAAACACCTGGCTGGGAGTTCTTTCTTACTGCCAATATGCATCTTTAACAGTGCACAGGAAGGTCAGAAAAGCCCCCTTCCCCTCCCCCACTTGGAAAAGAAGAAGCCACAGCTCCAGTAAAAGACAGAAGAGAAGGGACTTGTTATTTGGTTATGAAGCCACTAGGGGTAAGTGGTGGGTCTGAATGATGTTCCTGGCTTGGAAAATAGAACAGCTGAGGGAGGATAAGGGAGGAGCCTGCCAGACTTATTACAAACAATTTTTAAACATTTTGTTGCAAGCCAAGCAAGGCAATAACCAACATTTACAATAAAAACCCTGACTTTTGCAGAAATTATCATCTTTAATTAAATAATACTTGTGATTAGCTGCTGAAAAATACCGGGCAATGTACCTATGAAGTAGTAATGAACAAATATTGAAGTGTGTTGGGCAACATCCAGTAGGGACTGTGCTGGGAAAGTTTGAACTTCAGTGGATCTATCCTGATAGAACAACCTTATGCTCAGAATGGTTTGTTAGTGTGTTTCAGTTTGCATGCAAAAAGAATAGGAAGGGGGAAGAAAGGGGGGAGGCATGAAAAAATATAAGAAGTGATGTAACAGGTGATGTGAAGAAAGCACAATGCTTCTAATGTACCAATTCTACCAACTCAAATTCTTCCTGTTACTAACTAATATTTTTACATATCTAAACTGGCAAAGCTTTATGACATAGTTGTTTTTGCATATATAGAAGTCAAGTAATACAGATTTTTCATCAATTAATATAGTATAGGCCAAATCTTTCTCTATTTGGGTCTCTGAATGTGAGCAAGGATGCTAGCAGATACATCCTCCATTCCCAGGCTCTTACCAAGCAGGGTGTGTTTCCACCAGTCAAGACTTAGGGATCAAGAGGTAAGGATGTATTTTCTTGCTGCTGAGAAACTCAGGGGCATTCACCATCAACAGTAACATATACCACTATACATTAAGTAATACATAATGTTTGTAGTAATGTTAAAATAGTGTATAATAATTAATGGTTGCAAACCACATTGAAATTTGGGATGAAAACAAAATAAGCCTAAATTGTTGTTGTTATCTTCATCAGCATTAACAACAACAGCAATACATCTGCATAAACAAATAACACATGTCTATATTTTCAGATATCATCACTCAGCCGGATGTTAAAATCATGATCACTCAAATCCCGCTGGTTATTTGGTGAGTACAAATTTGATGATTAGTGGATATCCTTAAATATTGATGGCAGATTACAAAAATGCAGTGTTTGTTGCCTTCCCTTTGAATTGTTTAAATAACTGTCGTATCAGTCATTTAATGGAAAATCCAGATTTAAATGATTTAGAAACAATTCTGCTTAAATGTCATATACATAAATGTCTATTTGTATTTACTGTGAACACATTGTGTTTACTTGATTTTTAGTCCCTTGCTGAAATAATAAGCTTATTTGTTATTTCAAAACAATTCTTTAATAACAAATTATTATGTCAGACAGTTACTATTTTTAAGTAAAATAATTATCAGAAATGGAGGATAGAGCTAGTCCTATAAATTTGGAAAAGACAAGAATTAGTGAGGAATGAGCTGCTGCTCTTGCCTGGTACTCTCCAGTCCTATTTAACAACCCACATGTCAAAAGCCACTTAGCCAGTCTGAGCCTAAATGAGTAGGTTACCCAATTTCCAAAACCAGACAGCTTATTCACTATTCTGAACAGCACGTAAACTTTTACCATAACTCACCTAAAAGCATAAAAGCAAAGTTTGCTTCTCAGTCCTGTAACTAATTCCATCAGTTCCAAAATAAAAGCATTTACAGTACACATAGCTAACGCCTCAAAACAAACTAAACAGAGTGAGATTAAGACACCTAACCTGCAGACATGCATTTGAGGTGTTACTACATGAAAAATATCGAGGTCAAACTTCAGGTTGGGAAGAAACAAGTACAGCATGGGAACTGCAGCCAAACTGAGCAGAGCTTGTACTCATAAATAAACCTCATTCCAATAGCTGACTCTGGAGGAAGAAGGCACAAGGGGTAGGACCAGGACTCTCAGCTGGTTAGCCTGTTTTCCAGGCTCCACCTCCCAGGATTAGGGGAGATGCATGTTATCATGTCACCTGGCCAGTTAGGGAGAAAAAGAAGCTGGTGAAATCAGTACACAGCTTTTATTTTAAAAACAAAAGCTGGAGACAAATTCGGGAAACAACTTTATAGGCCAAAAAGTAACCTTGGCAATATCCTTTTGCTTGTCACAGACAGCAACACAGTAGGGGAGAACAGCTGCTACACAGGTCTGGACTTGCTCCAGGTGAGAAAGTGAGCCTACACTAGGAAAAGGAAAGACAGGTACATCCTGGATGGAGTAATAGGGAAACAGGGATTGAACTGTGACTTTCAAGCCCCTAGGCCACATTGCATTTATACCGCGATTAAAGTGCTAATTGCATCATAAATAGCAAGGGTACTACACATGCACCCAAATTAAGTTGCTATATATAATGTAGAACATTTTTGTGGCTTGTATGTATGGCTCCTGAAATTTATCATGATCCCAGGCTCCCCCTACACTGGCAAGTACAAAGGAAGTGACCGGGAACCAATCCCTGATCCCAAAATTGTACCTCCTACTGTGCAAGTATAGCATGGCAGGAGGCACAATTGGTAGGATTTAGGGATCAGATCCCATCACGCCATTAAATAAACATGTGCCAAGGGTTTCAGAGTCACAATAGAGTATTCTACCACTAAGACAACATGACTAATCATTGTTTCTAACCAGGGCCAAATTCTGAATTTCACGGTGTTTAAACATAAAATATGAAAATGACCTACCATTGTTACATTATGAGAAAGTGTAGGGGAGAAGGGAAATGGACTCTGGAACTGTAGTAACTTCTTGTTTGACTACAGAGAGCCAAAGAAATGTAAAACTCCTCAGGACCAGATAACAATAAGTGATCTTCTTAAAATATTTCCTCTGTCCAAGTTAGTAATTGCTTTTCCAAAAGAAAGAAAGAAATGATAACAACAACAAGAATTCTTGTAAATTTTTGTGGCAAATGTCAAGACTAAATTCAGTCTTTAAAATAGAGGGATTTGAGCGTCATTCCTAAGGCAAATTTAACTATGAATTTGCTGTTGATGCCTCCATAACAAAAGGGGGTTAGGTTTTACCAGAGGGGGTTAACCAAGAATTCTGTAGTTCACTATACAAATCCTTCTATAATAGTTTTTTTTTCTGCAACTCTTTGGCTGTAGCCTATTTGTTAAACAGAGCTCAATCCAGCCACGCATGTTCAACTTTAAGCACATAAGCAGAGCCGACCAACATTTTTGTGACAAAGTTTTTTGTTTTGGGGGGGAGGGTTGTTTGTTTGGGGGTGGGGTGTTGTGGGGGGGGTCTGTTTATTTGGGTTTTTTCTGATCGATTATCACCAAAACTTGTGGCAGAAAAATGCAACTTCTGACAGAGGGTCACTAAGCAGGTATTTTGGATTCAGGATTTTGTTTGGGGAGAAGAAAGGAGATTAAATAAGCCAGAATGCAAGAAAGGGCAAGCAAGCACCACCTCGCACTCCAGAATAACCAGTAGCTACAGCAGTCACCTGGAATGTGGAGGGACCCAGGTTCCTTGGTCTGAGCCAAGCTGGACCAAGACTTAAACCTGGGCCTCTTATCTCAAGTGCCCCAAGCACAATACTGGTGACTAGCATATGGTCAGGAGGTTAGTTTCTCCACTCTTAACCCACCACAAAGAGGAGTCTTTTAAAATCTTTTTTTTTTTTTGTAGAATAGGAAAATTATTTCCTGCTCAGGTCTACACAGTCAAAGGAACTGGGAATCTTGCTGGACTGGGGCCCTAAATAGTTGACATCCTTCTTGCTTTTCTTCTTCCTACTATTTATTGTTCAATTTTTCCTTCTATTCTTTCTGTCCTACCATAAGTTGGTATCTTTTAGCCCCGTGTTTAAGTTCAGGGTACCTATTCAATTTTTGCTTTCTCTTCCAGGTGTGCATCTTCCATAACTTTTCCATCTTTTCTCATCTATTTGACATCAGTTTCTCCCTACTTCCTGATTACTCATTCTTTTGTCTCCACCCTTCAATAACGCTTTGCATTTCTCTTCTTCCTACCGAAACCGCCCCTGCTACTTTCACAGATCTCAGGCACATGCACCCACACACACAAAACAACCTTTGCTTCTTACATGAGATTCTGATACCTACACAGCACAGAATACAAACCAGAGCTAAGAGCAAGGAAAACCTGCCAGTGTTGACAGCTGTATGCAGTTTATTCCCATGCAAAGTCCATTCCATTTCCTTCTCTCCCTTACCACCTTTTTCACAAACAATCCATTTTCTCCATAAACTTACCTCTATGAAAAATATCACACAGCCAGGTAGTACTGGGGCATCTATATGTAGCCTATTAAACTACACTAGCCAGAAAATTGCTAAGTCAAGAGTGCTGGAAGTCAAGTGCCTTACTCCAGACAGGATTCACAAACATGAGCTCTCTCCTTGACTTAGCTAGGTTAGTCTGATTTCAAAAAAGGACTGGTTTCAGTAGTGAAGTTGCTAGTCCTTATTTTCCATCCCCTTCAATAGAAAGGACTTGTTAGGGAAGAGAAGAACTTTTGAGAGATTCTAAACTAGTCATCTGAGCATTGACAGCATGAAGGTTGGGGTAGATCATGGAGAAAGGGAAAAATACAGAAAGGATTTGATTTGAATTGCATGCTTTGTTTGCCTCCACTAACATCCACAAGCAGAGAGAGGCAGTAAGTGTGCATTAGAAGAAAAAAGCAGGCTAACTCAGAGCTCAACTAAACAAAGTGATTAGTTACTTATTAGCTCAGAGGTTTATTTGGGGAGGGGAGAAAAAAACAGCCTGAAGTTCAGATGGTATACCAGAGTATGTGGCCTGGAAATCAGGCAGGTTTATCAAGCAAAAACATCCTCAGTCAAATTTCCACTACTCACTGGTTTGGACTGAGTCAGAAATATTATTTATATACCTTCTTTTCTCCTGGAATTTGTCTCCACTTCTACCCGATACCAGAAACTGTAGAGAAGCATTAAAACAAACAAAAGGGTCAGCCCTTTTCAAATGTATAAAAGTTTTTATTCACTTTCCACAAGTGTTTCAGGGAGGCTCATAAACAGGTTTGCTTCACTGATGTAGGTTTGCCCTTCCCTGCTCTTGACGTCTTCTCTCATTTGTATTTTGTTTACATTTAAACACATGCTGCAGTTTCAATAGACAATACAAGCTACGTTATTATATGACACAAGGGCAGAAGTATTACGTTGCTGACATCCAGTTCATCAAAATAAGGTGCAGGGTTTTTTGATTTGCTTGGTTTTGTGGTGTTTTTGGTTTTGGGTTTTGTTTTTTTTTAATAAAAGTTTCAGTCGTAGTCGTTATAAATATGAGACATTCTCTCCTGCTTAGGTAGGATCTTGTTTTTATTTCCATTCTTTTCCATTTCCGATGCCAATTTTATTCAGGGGAATATTCTTTTTTCTTTTCTCCCTTGATTCAAGTCTTGTTACTTATTCCCTTCATTGCCTGGACTGTATGGTGGCATTTCTTCAACTGCTTGTAAAACAGAATTTCCCTGTGTCATTCTTTTCTCTTCCTGTTATATTTTCCTTGTTTCAGTCCGCAGTCAGCTCATGCATTCTGATGTCTTCAGGACAAAGGATTTACAAAATATGGGGGGTTGCTGTTTTTTTGCAGGAACAGTTTATTTTTTGGTTGTGTTTCCCCGCCCCCCCAAAACAATTCCAAGAAAATGACACATTTCATTTCTTTGATGTAAACCTTGAGTAATGCTATTGAAGTTGGTAAGCACAGCTTAACGGAATATTCAGCTCTGAGTTAGGTGCCTAAAATTTGGAATTTACAGGGCCTCAATCCTTCATGTCCCCATTTGCAAAAGAATGCTCTTAGCACCAGGCCGTGGGCTGTTCTCACATGGATCTCTCTGAATCTCTTTTATTGAAGCTGTCCACATTGAATAACATACTTAAATATTCATTGGAACTGGGGTCTCACAGGTGAGCATGCTAACCTCCACACTATAGAATCATTCTCTTTCAATGACTATTTAATTATTGTACACAGTGTAAAAGTGGAACAGTATCAGCAAGACAGATTGAGTTCAGAATATGCAATAAACTAG